CTTCTGTTATTCATTTTTGTTTGTTATTATAGAGTCGTTATAAGTTTATCTTTATTTATTATTTTTTATATAAATAAAATTGGAGTAGCGAAACCTAGGATAATATAGCTCACTATACAAAATGGTATCAATTACTCTATTCTGTTAAGTATTATTTTCTACTATCATTTTAATTTTTTAAATAAAAACTCGCGAAACACACGAATGTACATGAATGTATGCAAACGTGCCATACTTTTATTGATCAATCATAAGAAAGAATTTTATGAATTGACCAATCAAAGAATACTTCAATGCATTTGTAATAATAAGTGAATATTCTAAAGAAATTATAGTTTCAGAAAGAAACATAATTTAAATTTAAAAGTAAAATTCCAAAAAAAAAATTCCATAAAAATCCCTGACTTTCAAGGATAAAAACGAAAAATTTCAGATTTTCTAAATTCTAGTAAACACGCTGATGTGGTTTCACATGAAAGTTGACTTGTAATCAATGATCTTAATACTACTTAAAATATTCTTAAATACAAGATTGGATTATAAATAGTGCCTTTAAACCTTTGTAATTACTATCTAAAATGAATTTGTCATGTACCAATAGACAATGCACGAATTCTGGTCCACCGACAAGAGGAGTAAACGTGCCGAGCTGTTCGGCCAATGCAAGGAGAACTTCATCCTCGTCGTAGATTGTCTCCGTTAAAAATGGTATTAGCTCGCTCCGTGTTCGTTCGACGCCTAGCGCCAATGCAATGGTTGATAACTTCTTGATGGAATTCAAACGTAACTGTAATAAAAAAAAGAAAAACACAATAATATTTATAATGCACATCAATAATGATAAAAGCAGCAATAAAGATTATTGCTCTATTTATGCTAAATATGTGAAATTTTAGCACCGACTGAATTTCTGTTTCCCACAATAAAGTTCTAACACTTGTGATTTAGACTAGATCTGTTCTTTTTCGAAGAAATATAACTTGTTTCGTTTCAAATTATTGCAATAGTGTACACCAGTTTAAAACATTCTTCGGAAAAAAACAACAGACCTATTATCACGTGTAATATTATCTTCGAGATCATGCGTTCTACAAAATTTAAAAATCAACCTCTGTTTGTATAAAGTACCGTATTCTCTTTAGCAATCGGACACTCAATAGCGATAAAGAGAGAACTTGTAGAAGGAAATGCAAAGCTTATTCGCCGCAATTACTGTCAAGGCGATTACCTGGACATCCTCGTTTTTTAACTCGTCGATCAGAACCGCGATGGGATACAGGCTGTCGTCCGTGTTGGAGTCACTCGCTGCCATTTTGCTGCCGAATCACACTGGTGATTTCGATAATGCTCGTGGAGATTCTTCGTACCGTTTGATGCGCCTACGTTGATCCTCGTGTGTTTCAGGTATACAAATCGGACAATCTTATCGGACAGTCGGACACGCGTGTAATTACAGCATAATTGCGGGATGCCGTTAGTAATTTAAGAGCTCACTCGAAATACACCTCGCGATTCGCCGTTCGCGACCCCATGCGACTTCGTGAATCACTGATGACAGTGATGACTCGCGTCGCCATCAGATGGCAACTCTTTATGCTTTTCTATCGCGTGTGTATGTAAGTATATGTTGTACCTACAGTACCTACACTCGGACACAGACGATCACAGATCGAGACGCATGATGTAAGAATACGGCATGCGTATGAATAATAAAAATATAACATAATGAATAAAATAAAAAAAAGTAATACACAATATAAATATATTAATATAAATATAATTATATTAATAGAAATATATA